AATCTTCAACCACACATCTTTCATACTAAAAGTAATTAGTAAGCATCTGACCTAACATTTTACATTTCATTAGGCCCGCCCTTTAATGAATCGAAGTGTATTCTAAAAATTCGAGTTAACCTCTAAAATATATATTCTCTTTTCTATTAGTTACCACTTATACATTTATACAGAATTTACTGAACAATCTAATTGGGTATTTTGAACTTATCAAGTCCACTATACTTTTTCCTTCAATAAAATTATATTACTATACGCCGGATTAATCGATCTGTTTCCCTCAAAAAAGCATTGAGGGAAACAGTATAGGCAGTTAAGAGCGAAATGATTAGTCGCCAATTAACGTTGTAGTAGATATACATATTTTTGGGTCTAAAACTAAGATTATATGTCTTTTTTTTTTAATCATGAAGAATAAAACTAAGCGAAAAAAAAGAAAAGCCTTAGATGCATCTCAAGCACGATTTCAATCCAAGTGATGAATTTCTTAGACGGCTTAACTTTTATTGTAATACCAAGGTACCTGATACATCCAAATAATTCGGAAGTGAGACTTTGATCAGCCATTGACTTTTTTAAGCTCACCCCGAGCTAGATCTTAATACAAAAATTATTAAAAATGAATATTACCGAAAGCTCGACGAAAAAAGGTGGTATACACCTATATCAAAAATTACGAAGATCCTAAATGAATTATGATACTTTCAATCTAAACTTTTTTTGACTATAAGGTTAGCTATATATATTTAACCCATTGCATAAATTTTGTCGTTTGCGTTGATTACATTCTTTTTTCCAAAAATTAATATAGTATAGTTTCTCAAACAAACACAAAATGAAAATATTTTAAATTATAATTCGCACCAAAAATAGGTATAATCTAAATTGACCTTTCAAATTCGAGAAAAACAATCGAACTTGAGCAGTTCATTGCAATTTGAATAAACACACTGAATTTAATTTCTTTAATAGAAAAAAATTATTTTAATTGAAGTAGATTAGTCAAAATCAATTTGGTATTTGAATATAAGTTGTAAGTGGATAAAATTTAAGTAGTCCGACGAAATTCAAATATTCCAACGAACAATATACAATTAAAACAACGCATAAGGCTAACAATAAGCGTTCAGTAGATGCAAAAAAGTACTTGCCCTTCTGACCTAAAACAAGAGAAATTTTATCATCATCTTTAAAATTACCCTATACTGTTATTTAATATTTAAAGTCTAAGTCATTTTAATTAAGGCACAATCATTTACTCTGCAAAAAATAATTAGATCAAAGTATATTTCAGAAATACACCCACTACAATATTTTCGCCAATCACAATTTCTTACAAGTCAAACATAAAAACGTGTATAACTTTTTTCCGGGGAAATCCATTTGTAATCATCATTATTTTCCACTACTAAAATATAACTATGAAACATAATTTTTTAAAACTTACTTTTCATTAAAGATTTCTGCCAAATTTCAATATTTTTTAAGTATAGAATAATCATTCATTCTATAACCAATTGAAATTTAAAAAAAAAAATATGATATAACAATGCAAAAATATTAAAAATTACGTTTTTATACAGCAAATACGCTTTTTTCACCAATAGTTTGCTTCGAACAATTAATTTTTTATTTAAAAAAGTAAAAATATAATATTTAAAAAGTTTCTCTATTTCTCACGAGAGTTTTTTAAAATGAATTCCACTTTTATAGAAATCTATGCTTACAACTACTTTTGTATTTCAAAATATCGATATCAATAAAAAAATCTATGATCCTTCTACCAGTATATCTAATTGTTGCATGAAAGTAAGTCAGTTCTTGTTGTATGCTTAATTTTTATGAAATGAGTATCGTTATATACTCAATGCTTAGGGAAATCATAGGATCGCGGCACATATATTAATGAGATATACAGTAATAAACTGAATGAAAAATTGAAACCATGAACGATAGCTTAGCTGGTAAAACAAGAAAATATTTTATTTCATAACAATTGGGATATATCTGAAACGATCACAGATTTTTGTTTTTGCATATTCGAATGACAATCAATAACTTAATGATTTCAGACAAGCCTTAAATCGATGGTGCCACTCACAAATGTTTTTCGATTGTTAGATCAGGAGCGCGAATATATGCAACATTGCAATGAAAACCGATAGATAGCTTTTGAAATTTCTTGGGGCAATCGTGGTTTTGTTTTTGATCATTAAGATATTTTTTGCTATATGTATTAAGCGATTTCATGTTGCTTTCACATTTTCTCGTCGTGTAGATTTTTTCAAATGAAAAGCTTCACTAAAACTTTTCCACCAGAACTGCAGTTAGAACATTGGTTTGATGCTAACATTATAGAATGAAAACTATTTTTTATTTTTTTATCGTTCATTTTTTTTATCAATTTCAAGAATTCCAATCGTTATTTCTAAAAAAAAGATGTCCTTTAATTACCAAGGTCTCGTAAAAAATTATTTTCAAAAAATGATACGTATGTATGAAGTTCTTTTAAAACGGTTTTATTTTTCAAACAAGTCATGAGTAGGTCGAATTGCAAACTTTTTGATTGGTCGCGTTCAAAAGTCGTCAAGTTCATTGTGGACTGAAAAGAAAAGTTTAAAACTGATTTGTTTATTTTGTTCAGTTAATTTTAAAATTTGACTGAATAGTAATTTTTTGAACAATAGAATATCGTAAGTTTCAAGGTATAAAAATAATGTTTTAGTAAGATTTACTTGAGAAACCTGAATTTACGATGAAACAACTTATTTTAAAAGAAGTAGTTTTTCAACTTTTGTATTGCGAGTTTACATAATCGTTAATAATATGCCAATAGTTAATAATATAGTGTTATAAATCTATCATTATTAAAATGTTTATAAATTTTCGAGCTTTGGAAACAGTAAGAATGTAGTAGTGGGTAAAACAAGATCGGCCTTTCTTTGTTCTGATTTTGAGTTCGGCTTTTTTAACTTCGAAGCCACAATATTTCTACTTTAGTACGTTATTTTACTTTTATGAGCTTTAGTATAAGCTCATACGAGTGTTCGATTTTTCATCACAATGTACTTTCAAGTTCAACGGCTAGATGTCCTTTCCAAATCTACAAAAGTAAAACTCAAGTTTCTGAGTTATCAAAGTAAACATTTTCAGCCTATGGCTAATATCGCCATCGATTTTATTGAAAGAAAATTTCCGGAACAAAATAAGATAGGGCTGTTTAACGACGTGCTTATGCATCACTTTGACGTTTAAATAATTAAATATTTTATAGTAATAATTTCAATACTGAATTTTGAATTATAAGCAATACAAAACCACTACCTAATTATCGATGGTAACGCCGATAATATTATTTTTTTTAAATGCTATGCACCTTAACAAGTTGAAAACAATGGAAATTTGAGTACATGAACATGAATTCGAGAAAGCCTGACCTATCAACTAGCTTTCGCCCACTAATAAGCGTTAAGTACCTGTTTTGCACTATTAGCTTTACTACAGAGAAGTTTATGAAATGGTTACGATATTTTGATTTTCTCATAAAATGCCTATTTTTCAAAAAAGCAATTCTTAGTATAGCTCGAATGAACAGCTAGAATAATTCATAAGAACTATTCAGTTAATGTCTAATTTAATTCACACTTTTGGTTCTTGAAACTATAAAATGCACGAGTGCTTGTCAAGCCACAAGTATTGTACGTCATTCTATATAAAACAAATTTATTATTAATACTAGAATTATTTCCACTGTTCTAAATGGTTTTCTCAGTCATGCAACATCACACATAGTCAAAGAGAACAGTGAAGCTTTTGTAGTTTCATTCAGAACAATAATTCGACAAAATTTGGTTGTAGGTTTAGACAGTTAAAACATGACACAATTCTCACTATAAAACTACAGGTTCAACTTGAATGAAAAAAGATCTATTCAATTATTTGATTCAGAGATTTTAGATATTGAAACGAAGACCATTTAAAAGTATCCCTTGACGGTATATTTTATGAAAGCATTATTTATGTGGCTTTACTGGACTCGTGGGAAAAAAATCATAGGAGGATCGCTGCATATCATAATTGATATTTTATTCTGTATATCTGCGGTTATCACATTTTTTTTATTTAGAAACTCCATGGAAGTATTGATCTCTTATTCAAATTCAATATTCCACTTAACATTTTCATACTTGCAGATGACTTACTTGACGGAAAATTATTATGCTGAAAAATTAAATATGAATGCAATATTTGATAAAAAAGAGCCTCTTCAATGGTACAAAACCCCTGACATTTTTTTGTATTTATAATATTGACAACAATTTTAAATAACTCAAACCATTTCTAAAACAAAGTTGTAAAATTTGTTGGAAATTTCCACCACAAACTGGATGCTAATTAGTTCTGAAGAAAAGAAGTTTTCGAAAAACTACATTGACATTGCTAATTTAATATCACTCATATTGCAGGTACTTTTTAAAAATTAAATCATTCATAAAATATACATAAAATGCAATTATTTTCTAGGTGTTATAAGTGAATCTTAATTTTTGTATGTCATTGTTCTTTCAGTACTATAGCCAATTACGGCAAATATCATTTTACCAGGAAATCATATGTATAAAAAAAACTCTCTATTCACATTGAACTATTCGTCGATGAAGATAATTAATTTGAACGTTTATTGTTTTGTACTACTAATATGTATTTTTTTAGTACAATTACAAATTTCAACCTTGGGAAACACGTATGCAACTTTACTTTATGTGGCAATAGGAAAATCCAAATTTTTGGAGTAATTTTATTCAAATATATCACAGATTTGCTGTTATTTTACAATTCAGGTTAAGATTGCAACAAATTTCAGAATATTCTCGAACTAAACTATTTTTGAAAAAAGAAGAACAAGATGCAGTTTACAATTATGTTTGCGATATAGTTAGACAGCACCAATTTTGTCTCCAGTTAAGTTGAAAAATTTTGAAATATAATTTCGTATATTTTCTCATTACTTCTGTTTCAGCTTTGTTGAAATCGTGAACAATTGAGACAGCCATTTATTTTTTAATGGTGTATTAAGTTTGATCATCGGAATGAGTATTACTGGTTGTTTGGTGTAAAATGAGATTATTTGTTTTGAATTTTAAGACGGAATAGTGTTCCATGATCATAGTTATAGGTGGTAACCACGTTCGAGCAGGATGTAAATTTTTCGATCAAAATGGGTTGTGTTTACTTGTTCATAAATAGTCTATTTGTGACTATCTATTCCTCTCAAAAAGTACTAAATGCTAATCAAAATCCTTGTGCCAAAAGGTAATTTAAACATTTTTTTACAGGCAAAAGATCATTTTTGGTCATTTCCATTTTTTACATAGTTACTGTACGGAATGGTATAAATACTCACTCAAAACTAGAAAAATATTGCAAATGATGATAATAAGAGCATGTAAAGGTTCTTGTATCGAAATCGGATCTAGCACATACCGAAATTATCAAACAACTGGAACGGTATAGTTATGATTTTAGGTGTTAAACACTTTGAATTATCGATTATTTACATTTTACTCTTGATTTCAGATCATTCGATTATCTATGTCTTAGGTTACAACGTTAGCATCTGTAATACGTAAACCTGCCCCCACATATTAGTGCTTATACTAGGGAGTAGGGACAATTGCAGCTGCAGAATGCTGAGAAAAATCTGATATAATTTTGATCAAGGCGTATTTATTCATGCTGTTATGATATTATTTAGTATGAAGTAGTTTATTCCAGCAATACTCCTCTGTGTAAGTCTCGCCTTTATAGTTTAATATTAAATTCAAGTTTTTATAATTGAAGAAAGATTTTGATATATTCTGTTAGAAAACTACTAGTAAACTCTAAACTCTATTTTTTACATTTTTAAAGAAAAATATAATATCTTACACAACTAAAATTATCTTTTAACAATTAAAGTATTTGCCTGTTCACTATCCTGTGTCCATTAAATGAAATTTACTTTGATTTCATACGCTTCTCGGTCTTGTAATTAATTTTGCATTTCAAAGTACGAATATCGTTGTGTCAAATCTGTGATGCTTTTACCCGAGTATCTAATTGGTCCATGAAACTAAATCAGTTCTTGTTGTTTGCTTAATTTTTGTGAAATGAGTATCGTTACATACTCAATGCTTAGGGAAATTATAGGATCGCGGCACATGTATATTAATAAGATATTACAGTTATAAACTGAATGAAAAATTGAAACCATGATCGATAGCTTAGCTTGTAAAACAAGAAAATATTTTATTTCATGGCAATTGGGGCATCTAAAAAAACGATCACAGATTTTTGTATTTGAATATTCGAGTGGCAATCAATAACCTAATGATTTTAGACGAGTCTTAAATCGATTGTGCCATTTACAAATAATTTTTCGATTGTTAGTTGAGGAACGCGAGCAAGCAACAGTGCGATGAAAACCGATAGATAGCTTTTGAAATTTCTTAGGCACAATCGTGATTCGCTTTTTAATCATTGAGATATTTGTGGCTGTTGGTACGTATAAAAAAACAGATTTCTGATTTCTCATTTTTGCTTTACTTTTGAAGATCTTTAAGTTCAACTTAACTCTTGAACTTTTGAACATAAACCGTAATGCTGTTCATACTCGCCTATTCGCGCATTGTTAGCGCGTTATTACGCATATATTACGAGACAATTTAGAGCAATTTATTTTCACATTTCAGTTAATCAATAACTGCACCAAAGCATAATTCTCAAATATAATCTAACATCTTTAATACATATTTTTCAAATAATTTAAACTGTAAATAAAATTTAAATGTATCTATTTTAAATAGTTAATTTTATTTGTGACCAAATATTTCGCTAAATAAAATATACTTAATAATTTGAATATCAAAATTACTACAATAGGAGGCTTTTTGACTGTTAGTATGGTTTAGAGTTGAGAAAAAATATGAAATCTTTTCCTTGAACTACAGTAGGAAATTTCTGCTGTCATGTTTTGTTCTGCTGCCTATGTCCTTTTTTACTTAGACTCGAATATTCTTTCCGTGTATCGAAGTATATTTCAGGAATACATCCAATACATAATGTTAGACTGTAACATTCCATAACAAGACAATGCAATAAAACGCCATACATCAATTGCAAAAATGTGCAAATATTCTTATAAATTTATACAGTAAACAATACTTAGTGTCCAAAAAAATTAATAACGTGGTAAACAATGAATATACATCTTAAAATTATAAAAAAGTACGGTGTATGAATCAATTTTCGTCATTCTAATGGACTAAGAATCGACCACGAAAAGTTTTTTATGAAATTCCGAAATTAATTTGCCAAATTCCCTATAAATTGAATTTAGACTGTAAATCTTTCTTTATACGGCTTAAATTTGACGTTTTTTCATAATCCGTGGTTATTATTAATATTTAAATAATTTCAATACTCAGCTAGCTCCTTATGTGCTTGCTACCATAAAAAGAAAAATAAACGTCAAAATATGATTAAATTTGATCTATATTTTATACAAAAAAATACACAACAATTCCTCAGAATATTAGAATTGAAGGCAGTCTTTTTTTTAATTCCCGAAGAAAACGTCAGGTCACAAAATTTGAAAATCTTAGACACATTTCATTAGTAATTTTAAGGAAAGAACTAGAGTTAATAGAAGTACTTCGTTGTCTAATGCAGCTAGTAAAAATCTTTACTTACATATCTTTTATAAGAGGAACAATAGGTGAGAATATAATTCGAAATTATACATTTTATTAGAGCCCACCCACTTATAAGCATATTATAAGAGTTTGGGCTGGATTCTGAAACACTTTTTCCAAATGGGAAAAAAACATTGTTGTTATATTCATTAATTTGGAGTAGAATTTTATGAATAATCAAGTAGAATTTTTTGAATATAAAAAAGTGTAACAATATTGGCAAGTGCAAAGTAGGAACCCCTAATCACGGTACGGTATCTACAACCTAAGTACCCTCACCAAAGTAATGTCTAAAGACATTGTCGGTGAGGACCCAATTCACAAGGGCCACTGGCTGCAGAGTTCACTCTGCCCACGTCCAAAATAATTAATAAATATATAAAGTAGTGAGATTAGAGTTTAATCTCCTTTGAATTACTTTACTAAAAATATAGATGAAGCATCCATAAATTACGCAGTCGATATGGCAAATGACTTCCGTGTGTTCGTAGCACTGAGTAATAGTTTGTGCAATTTTGTGCCATAATCAATAATAATTCATTTACTTCCAAATACTATTAGGAACTGTGATCCTTTCATTAGCTTATCTATTTGGTCCATGAAACTAAATCAGTTCTTGTCGTTTGCTTAATTTTTATGAAACGAGTATCGTGATGTATTCAATGCTTAGGGATATCATAGAGTCGAGCATGCCTAAAGTTGGTTTCCGATTTTATTATTTTAATGTGTGAGCTACCTACTGATTCAGTCTATTACGTTGCCCCGAAAAATTGATTAGTGAATTAATGTAAGTAGTTTAAAGTTACTGAACCTAAATGTTATATTAAAAATTTGAATTAGCATTTAGTACGGGGTAGAACATCTCAAGTTTCTCCGAAAGTAAAACGTGAGAGTCAAACCCATTATTCCGTTATATTAGGCACTGCTCCCTAATTAGCACACTATACAAATTCAAGATTCAAGTTAAAATAAACATTCTAATTTTTACAAGTTACCGTGAGCCAGGAATTTTTTGAACTACAATTAAATGTATCTCACATTGATTAATATGTTCATCTCAAAAAAACGATAAAAAAAATAGTAATGGTATAGTTTGAAGCGCTGTAATTGGTCACCAACTAGCGCTGAATCAGATGTATGTTATCTAAAGTTTAATTTTAAATGTAAAAAATGAATCTCCAAGGCGCTGAGAAAGGCTTGAGAAAGGTTAAAACTATTAAAAATGTTCAAAAGTAAAAAGTGGTATTTACTATAAGATAAAAATATCTCTAACTTCTAAATAAATAATTAGTGAAAATTGAACCCATTATTCTTACGCTAGGACCCACCCTATAATAAGCTTACAATCGAAATTCGAGTAAACGTCCAAAATTTGTTAGTCAAATTCAAAAAATCATTATTTTTTATACTTTTTTATACTAAGGAATTTTTCGAATAATCAAGTTAGGTATTGAGTACTTATCAAGTCTACTATGCAGTATAATATTTAAATAATTTAGGCAGTTTGAAGTGTTTTGATTGGTTTCTAACTGACTCTGAGATGTATAGAGTATACATGGTGAAACGCCCACAGAAATAATATTATATTCATATTTGGCTAATTTTCAACTTTAGTATCGTGCGTTTACAAAGACATACTATTGCAAGCGTTAATAATGTGTCAATAGTTTATAATATAGATTTTTTTAATTTCAAAGCCAGAAAATTTCCACAGCTTTAGTACGCTATTTTACTTTTAAGAGTTTTAGTATAAGCTTATACGAGTGTTCGATTTTTCATCACAATGTACTTTCAAGTTCTACCGCTAGATGTCCTTTTCGAATCTTTAAATGAAAAACTTAAGTTTCTGAGTTGTTGAAGTAAAATTTTTAGCGCAAGGCAAATCGTTCTGTTCCTTAAAGCAGAACAAATACATTTAAATAAAATTTATTAATGGTTAATTGTAATCTATGAGGTATAAATTGAAAATATTGAAAATTGTGTGAAAGTTGATTCATACTTTTATTATTATTATAAATAAATATTTAACAGTAAAATAGGTAATATATGATGGATTAATTCCTCATTATCGACCAATTTTAAAATCGTATAAAACAATTTCAAATATTAATATACCAAACGCAAATGCCATACCTAATAACAAAATGAGTAAGTGAGGAGCAAACTCATAAATATCTATACTAGACGCATTTAAAATTGACTTTTGGCAACGAGGCCGCACAGACGTCCATCTTAAAAGTTGCCGTTTTCGCAGACCCACCTCAGATAATCTGAAAAATCTAGAATCGTTTGGTGATATTTATTAGATGTTGACCGAATTCAGTTCAAATAATATATCGCACAAATTACCCAATCTTTAAAATTTCTGTTAGTGTGCTATTACGGCTAACGGCAAAGGTTGAAGATGTGGGTTGCGCAAGATGAACTTCCTTTAGTTCACAAATTTGCTTATTGCTGAAGAATCGATTGATGAACGGATAGCTTACGTCTGGATGAGCGTGGTATGCAAAGCCGCCACGTTGTACGAAATGCATTGCTTTTTCTGGTAACATAAACTGCTCAGCTTCCGGGATGGCTGACCAAGTTTTGTTGTAAAACGTTTGAATATCCCAATCAACTTTCTGTATTCGTAATGAAGAAGAAATTATACCAATTATAAAAAATAATATTAAGAATACGAAGAGAATCGATTTTTACTTTGATAAAAAGCTCGAAATAAACCATCCACTCAGAAGCCAATTTCATATTTAACTTCGACATTTCGTTCAATGAATCGTTAATTTTAAAAACGGGCTCATTCAAACGCGCAGAAACTATGCTCGCTGAATAGTAATTATAAAAAAGATAGCTAAATATCATGATGTGAAAAAAGGCGATTCGCGTGGATATATGTTTCATTGGAACTTCCGTACCTGTGACAATGAAAATACATTTAACAAAATTAAAACTAGAAAATAATTTACCTGTCTGCTTACATTGCTGGCACAGAGCACCTACTATAATAACAAATGACTCTGAATATCTCATAATCGTACTATTTATGTTTTCGTATTTAAAAACGGTTGCTAAAACCCAGGCGCTTAATACAAAAATTACTAGACTTAGGTACCAAGTATCAATGGCTAGAGGTCCGAGGACTTCGTTAATGGCTATGTTTTTACGTTGAGGGTTACGAAAAATAAAACAGGTTCTAAAATAAGAATTATTTAAAAAATATTGACATAAGTTACCATGAAGAGAATTTAATCTAACTACCTGAATGGCCAAGCTGAAAATATGTATTTCGCTAAATACGTCCTTTTACGATTTACTGTTGTCGGTGTCCCAGTAAGATCTATTTCGTTTTTACTTAACGCTCGTACGATGGGCCCGTACTTATCTCCGACTTTCCATTTACCTGAATCTCCACTAACTAATCTACAATATAATCGAATAGATAAAACGATGCACTCAAATACTTACATAGAAAAATTTAAATTTACGAGAAATTGTATAGATCGGTAAGATGCCTTATTAAATTAAAACCAAATTTCGACAGTCCGTCTTTAGGAGTACTAGAGTAATCCTGTAAATAATCTTCAAGCGTCATATTCGGAGGTTTATATTTGCTCTGAAAAAGCAAAAATTAGTTACTGTTGTAGTTTGTACAAAATATTTGAGTTCATACCGAATAAAATGATATTTTCAAGGTTAACTTCTGGTAATTAGCTCGTTTCAAAATGTTATTGCTCTGTGAAAAAATTTTGATTTGTCCATTCTTGCTCCAAAATCCGAAGAAATGTACACTCACATTTGCGCCTCTTTCTTTCCAGAGGTTATAAACGTCATACAGTATAAATTCCTCCTGCTTTAAATATATTATTATTCATATTTTTAGCTATTGAATTTATCGTACTCACTGAATTGTCATTCAAAGGGACAGCAATAACGAGATCCGTACTAATGCTTAGTGAATAATTATCGACCCACTCCGTTGCGTCCTCTAAACTTTGGGTTATTATAAGCCAGTAATGTAGGTCCCCGTACATACGATTTACTGCTGCCTAAATACAATGATTATGCAACAATATTACGAATTCATGCGATCATACCGAACTTACTTCTGAAAATATTTCAAAAATGGTTGATTCCTCTAAACACCTTAGGTCTAAGAAAACGCCTAGTTTCCAATTTTTAGTCGAAGCCGATCGACGTAATTCGCGCAAACTATCGGTACTCATTAATGAAATGGAAATACCACGTTGATTCAGAGTTTTGATCAAATGCATATTATCTACACAAACAAAATATCGCCGTGAAAATAATGCACGATTAAAAACTCATAATGTTTTAAACAAATAATTACTTTCTGTAGAACTGCAAGAATACCCGATAATGCTTGGTGCATTTTTATAATTAAAGTAATCAAAAATGAAGTTAGTACTCAAATCCGTCATATTGTCTGCCTGTATATTTTCAAATAATAAAAGCAAATGGAAAAATAATAACTTCATTTTATAACCATACGTTTTTAAGCACTATTAAACCCAAGCTTTTGCTTTTTACATCATTTCGTATAACTTAAAACAGGTAAAATGATTTTAGTTGATGAATTTTCTTGTTTTAACTATGAAATTTTTATCTTTTAATCTGAACATTTGTTTTTTGAAAAAAGGCGCAACAATTTTTCTGTCATATCTAGAGATACAAGTCCACTTTATCAAAGACTTATGAAATTTCGATGTCGCGTGTTACTAAATTTCCCATCGACAAATTTATGAATTCGCAATCATACAAACGATTTGTTTTGTTTTCTCTTATCGATTATTACACTCGTAATATCACGTTCGTAAATAATTTCGAACAAAAATATTATAGCAAAAATATTATTCAACATACATGCGATTAACGTTAACTTATTCTCTACTGTCGCAGACAAACCAATCAATAAGAGGACCAAGCGTAGAGCAAACTCCTCGATGTTTATGATCGCTAAGAATATTTTGAAAACCAATTGATGTACAAAAAGTGAATTTTTAAACGTTTTGTTTACGTATCCCTAAGTAGAAAAGGTTCGTGAGCCTACTAAACATAAGTTTAAAGTGATTTATTATTAATTTTAAAGCTCTACGCATAATAATTATCCTATTTTTATCATTTCAGTAAAAAAATCCCAATGGTAAAATTAATCGACGATACTTCAATCACAAAAACAGTCAAAATCCTAAAAACCATATTATCAACGAGTCGTAACGTGTTATCGAGATCAGAGTTGAGCGTGAAACAATAATTCAAGAACAGACACAGTCTCAAATCAGTTACTTAAAAATCATAGACGATCACAAACATATTTTCGTCGTAACTTCCATCCATTTTTTAGTATTTAATATTGCTTAAGAGAATAGGTATTCGATATTCTGAGAGTTGAATGACTATTAAAATAAAAATAAGTGATTCAGGGAAATTTGTTTAATGCATATAGTTATGGATTGAATCAATAATAGATATTTTTAATAAACGATCAAATTGAGTGTATCTGTGATACAATTTTATGTAAGAATATAAGGTTTACATCGAATAAAAGTAACACAATATATCGACAAATAATACGATTGCATGGTAAAATACCAGTCTTCGTCAATATTTAATAGATTATTCATCAAAACAGAAGTATCAACCTTGTATATCTATCGAAGTACTGAATTATGCAGTAAGAACAAGTATTCAATATAGACAGGGAGTTGTATGTCCTACACGAGTGATTATTTTTAAATGTCAATGAACGAATGACAATACACAAATCTCAGTTGGTTTATCAGAGTATCTAATATATACATGTCCATAAATGTTATAAGAATTTCTAAGGCCAGTAATCGCCATTTTTAGGCTTGTAGATGGTATTTTTTATAATTATTGGTTGCTAACATTTCAAAAATTTCTATCTTAGCTCTTAGTAGCTATAAGAAAAAGTTCATGAGAATTTTATTCTACTACAAATAGTTTAATCTTTCAAAATAAGTATTCTGAAAAGGTTTGAACACTTCTAGAGCCTGCTATTCTAAAGAGAAACTTATACATCAAAATAAAATTGAATGTTTTCCCCATATTTATCATCAGAAACTTCCCACATTCCTAGCATATTAAGTAATAAATACTACATTTTTGCAATAAGCCATCAAGTCTAAGAGCCACAAAAAAACTTCAATAATTAACAGACCTAAGGACCAAATTCTGTCTTTCGTTTTTTTTGTTCCCAAGAGAAAATCAGGTAAAAAAATATGAAAATCTCAGACGTATCTTAAACTATAAGTATCTTAAAAAAATATCATAAAGCTTAAAGATGCGAAGCCTGTGAAAACATAGATCGTAACAGAGCTACAAATTATTAAGAAGCAAAACAAGCGTATAGTGTAAGGTTTGACGCCTAAAGTTTTTCGACGATAAATAAATTTTTAAATAAATCGATCGATTTTATTAACTGATATAAAGTGCGACCACTGGTAGTTTTAAGTAATGAAATAAAAGAAATGAAAGTACTTCATAGTCTAATGCAATTATTATAAATCTTTGCTTATACACTGCCGTTCAATCACTTTTGCCATACCTCAGTAAAAAATGAGTAAACTTCAAAACGTCATAACTCAGTGAATAAAAGTCGTATCAAGATTTTGAACCGACCATTTAAAAGATCTTTTCAAGCCCTTTCTAACCATATAGATGAGTATTAGGATTGTTCATTTATTCACTTATTGTCATTAACAATTAACAAGTCGAAAAAAAAAGTTTTTCTGGTCTTTTCTATGTCTGCTGTCAGTTTAGTAAGAAAACTCGTAGAAACATTCTGAGCCTATCAATTTGTAGGTTTTGTCAAGACCTTCATATCCTTTTTTTAAAAAGGGTCCTACCGGCCTTATTCGCAAGGATACGGCCGTTTACTGGACCCCAATATTTTTTTAAATTCTAAAATTTCGATGAACCAAAACCATGAATATTCTACGAATCTGATCCATAACAACTAATTCTTATTTAACATAAAAAAATAAACATTTTTTGTAACTAAAGTGTTTTCCTATCTCATTTACAAAGCCGTGAACATATAAATGAAAAATAATTTGAAAATTGAAAACAATTATTGCTCTATAGTTAAACCATCGTATCTTTGCGAATAAGGTCAATAGGACCCTTTTTAAAAAAAGGATTTGAAGGTCTTGACAAAACCTACAAATTGATGGTCTTAGAATGTTTCTACGAATCTTCTTACTAAAATGACAGCAGAAATAACAAAGACCAGAAAACATTTTTTTTCGACTTGTTAATTGTTAACGACAATAAGTGAATAAATGAATAATCCTAATACTCATCTATAAGGTTAGAAAGGGCTTGAAAATACCTTTCAAATGATCGATTCAAAATCTTGATACGACTTTTATTCACTGAGTTATGACGTTTTGAGGTTTACTCATTTTTTACTTAGGTATGGCAAAAATGATTGAACGGCAGTATATGTCTTTTACCCGGGGAGCAATAAGTGTGGATTTGACCCAAAACTATATATTTTAATAGGGGCCACCCATTAATGAGCATATTATGAGAGTTTGAGCTAGATTCTGAAACACTTTTTCTAGATGTGGAAAAAACGTTGTTGTTGTATTCTTTACTTTGAAATAGAATTCTCTGAATAATCAAGTTTAAATAGGAAAATGTATAAATACATTACATTATTTCCTACAAGCCTTTCGGGCTATAAAATTCAGAAGTGCCATTTGCGCCTAATCACCATACGGTAGCTGCAACCTACGGTTGACAGGGAATGTGGCAGAAATATCTTTTGGATGTCCTCACCTAAGTAAGGTTTAACGACATTTTCGGTGAGGAACTAGTTCACAAGGGCCACTGGCTGCAGAGTTTACTCTGCCCACGTCCAAAAAAATTAATAAAAAAATAAATTAGTAATATCAAAGTTTAACCTTTTTTGACAACGAAAATAAAGATTTCAATCATATTGCTAAATAAAATATTCTTAAAATCTTATGTTAAATCATGATTGTTACAAGTGATCCGTAATTTCAACTACAAAGTGATACAATTCTATGCTGTTAGTATTATGCACTTCAAATTATGAAATATTGTATAAAAATCTGCGAAACATTTACCATTGCATTTGATTGATTCATGAAACTAAATCAATTCTTTTTGTCTGCTTGATTTTTATAAAATGAGTATCGAAATGTACTCAATGCTTAGGGAAATCATAAAAACGCGGCACACATATTAATGAGATATTATATAAAGTAAGAGAAAAATTCAAATCATGAACGATAGTTAGCTCGTAAAATAAGAAAATATTTTATTTCATGACAATCAGAAAGACGATCGCAGCTTTTTGTATTTTCATATTCGAATGGCTATTAATAAATAACCTAATGATTTTAGACACATCTTAAATCGATTGTGCCATTTACAAATATTTTTCGATTGTAAGATCAGGAGCGCGATTTTATGCAACAGTGCGATGAAAACCGATAGATAGCTTTTGAAATTTTATAGGTACAATCGTAATTTACTCTTTGATCATTGAGATACTTTTTGCTTTTTGCAAGTAGCGACTTCAGGTATTTCTTACTTCTATTTCTTAAGAACCAGAATTTTTTCCTTCAAACTGTAAATATCTTATTTCAAGCTATTGTGAATAATTTGAAATAAACGTATAAGAATGAAAACTAATTTTAATTTTTCTATAGTAAATTGTTCATATCCATGGATAAAATCGCAATCGTCATTTCTAAATAAAATGTTTATAAATGATATAGACTTTGAAAAAAATAGTTTTTCAAAAATTACAAGTACATGTGATTTACTTCTTAATAATCTTTGTTTAAACGAGTCATTAGTAACTACCACTACAACGTCTGTTTGAGTACGTTATTGTACTGCTATGTTTCAATAAAAGCTAATACGGGTCTTCGATTATTTATCGCAATGTACTTTCAAATTTTATCGCTAGATGTCACTTTAAAATACATAAATAAAATACTCCAATTTATGAGTTTTATGTGAACAATATAATTTATGAGTTTCATGTGAACAATTTTATTTATTGAGATATCTTTAAAGCCATATGAGGTAGACCAGAAGAAACGTTCTCTATTTATTAATCGATGAAAAACGCAATGCAGTCGAGAATTGGCTGGAGCCCCAACTCCAAAAGAGAGCAACGGAGTGTCTCTAGCTTACAAAATAATGTCTACCTTACAAATATTTTATATTTAATGATTAGCTTTATGAAAAAACGACCCTAAAAACTGCTCAGACAAAAGTAATTTTCTCTTTTCTTTTCACATAGAGAAAGAGCCAGAAGGAACAAATAAACAAAAAGCATTGGTAACTTAGTAACACGTCAAAGTTCGTCGCTGTAATACCTAATTAATTAACCAAGGAATTCTGTACAGTCTTTACATAATAAAATAACAATATTTATTATTAATAGTGGTATTATTTCCACTGTTACACTCTAGTGTTCTACTGTTAAAACGTTGTTTTTAGTCTTGAAATATCACTTATAATTAAAGAAAAAGTGAAGTTCTCGTATTTTTAACTAGCACAGTAATTCGACAAAATTCTGCTGTAAATTTAGTATTATTTAGTCAAAAAGGTGTTGAAATTTTCGCTAACAGATAATAGGTTGAACATAAAAGAAGAAAACCCGAATCGTTTATTCGATTCAGAGATATTAGATATTGAAAAAACTGGCGCTGAAATGTATCCCTTGATGGTTTATTTTATGAAAGTATCATTTATGTGGCCTTACTGGAAACGTTCGAAAAAGATCGTTGTAGGATCAGTATTTGCCATAATTGATATTCTATTTTGTATATCTACGGTAATAACAATTTTTTTATGACACTCCTTGGTAGTTTTGGTCTCTTATTGCAAATTCAATATATCACTTAAAATGATAATCATTTCAGGTGATTTACTTTATAGAAAATTATAATGCTAAGAAATTAAATATGAATACATCAGTAGAACTATGTCTTCAATTTTATACGGATGTTTTCGCCGTATATTCCGCATACGATGAAGAGAAAAAGTTTTTGAAAAAATACATTGACATTGCTAATTTAATATCTCTCATACTTGCAGGTATATTTCAAAAATTAAAATAAACATTAATTATGCATAAGTTGGTTCATCATTTTTTAGGTGCTTTAAGTGGATCTTATTTTTTGTACGTTATTGTACTTCCAGTACTATGGCCTATTACGGCAAATATTATTTTACCAGGAAATTATACGCACCAAAAAAAACTTTCTATTCACATGGAATTATTCATCGATGAAAATGATAACTTTTACGTTTATTTTTTTTTACTATTGATATTAATTTTTTTAGTACAAGTAATGGTTTCAAGCATGGGAAACGTGTATGCAACTCTGCTTTACATCGCAACAGGGAAATTCAGTTTTTTGGGGTAATTTTATTCGAATATATCAACCAATTCAATAATTTTGATAATAATACAATGCTTTGCTGTTCTATTACAATTTAGATTAAGACTGGAGCAAATTTCAAAGTATTCTCGAACTAAAGAATTTTTGAAAAGAGAAGAACAAGATGCAGCTTACAACTATGTTTGCGATATTGTTCAACAGCATCAATATTGTCTAAAGTTAAAATTAAAAATGTTTAGGTGTAATTTTGTATATTTTATTATTACTTTATTTTCAGTTTTATCGAATCCGTAAATAATTTAGCCAGCCGTTTGATTTTCAATGGTATATTTTTTTTAATCATCGGCATGAGTATTACTGGTTGTTTGGTACGCTATGACTTATTTATTATTTTGAAGTAGGAAAAATGGTCGTTATGTTAATTGCAGATGGTAACCGCACTCGAACAGGATGTAAATTTTGCGATTAAAATGGTTTGTATTTACTTTTTATACATGGAAGGTCTATTCGTGGCAAGCTATCCCTGTCAAAAAGTACTTGATGCAAGTCAGGACCTTTATGACAAAAGGTACAAATCACCTTGATTGTCATGTTACTTTGAAGTAATTTTAATTTCTTGATGCAGTTATTATACTGAATGGTACAAATACTCTATCAAAACTAGGAAAATGTTGCATCTGATGATGATAAGAGCATCCAAGGGTTCTTGTATCGAAATCGGATCTAGCGCATACCTAAATTATCAAACAACTGGATCGGTAGTTATGATTTTAGGTGTTAAACACTTTGAATTATCGATTTTTTACCTTTTACTCTCGATTTAGATCATTCGATTATCCATGTCTTACGTTACAACGTTGGCATCTATAGTGACATTTGAATAGTAAATTACACCAATATAAATATTAACATTGATATTAAATATCATGACCAGAACAATATGTAGCTAAGTTTAAATTATCTAATCAAATAGTTAATGGATAGCGATTGCATCTTAAGGAATAATAATAAATGCAATATTACGTGAAGTTTTTAATGTTTAAAAATTTTTTTTTATATAAATCTACTTCTAAACTCTTTTACTCCATTTTACATTGCCGAAGAGACTTAATATTTTACATATCGAACATTAAAATAAGAAAAGCGTTCATTCACGATCTCTTTACTTTCGAGTATGATTTAGGTAGATAAAATTTACTTACAACCCGATTTTTATACAAAAAATGAAAAATAAAATACATTATATAAGTACCTTATCTCATCGTGGATGATTCAAAATTTAAACTCAAATTTTTATTAAATTTGATGCCTTGGAATTATTTGT